ACCTATAAATTTAAAATACTGATAATTTTGACTTGTTAATATACTATATAGGTAGGTACATTAATTATTAATTTATAATTTACTTTTTTATTCAATTCTAATAATTTACATTTGACTTTATATATACTTACTACTTAGGTACATAACTTATATTTATAATATATAATACTACAATAATAGTACAAAATGTCTACGTTCTGAAATAAATATTTTTACCCGACCACGTTATGAATTATAAATAAAATACCGTATAAAGTGACCGTTTACTTAACCTTATTGGTTAATATTGTCAACGTTAACTTTACTAGCATGGGTACTTTTCAAATATTATATTTTTATGATAGTTTTTAAATAATACATTTATTTACTTTATAATCTAACGTAAATAAACGCATAATTATGCATTTTTTTAAAAGTTAAACTCAAATTGGGATTTTAGTAATTCTATAGTTTACCTGAACCTATAGAAGGTGAAGGTCCTTCTGACAAAGTGACAACAGTATAATATCCTAAATATCTTGAGTAAATCTGTTAATATTGTGAAAAATAGTTAGACAACTTGATAGTTGATACATATATGCGTAATAGACACTATAGTCAGGCAGGTAGTTATACAAAATATAATAATTGTTTTGTTTGACAATTTGATTAGACAATAACACAATAAACAACCATCAAATTATTGTCATTATTAGATATTAAGTGTGGAATTGCTAGTGTGTATTAACAATCGTACACCTTAAATATCTTACCTTAACATTTTTGACAACCAATCTATTTTTAACTATTACAATTAAGACTTGAATTTGAAAAAAAAAATTCCGTTATATGTTGTTTACAATTAAAACGTTGCTTAGTTTTTGTGTTTATCGTTATTTAGAACTAAAACGTTATACAAGTTTTCAGTTTATGGTTATTTAAAATAGTGTTAATACCTATTAAATTTTAAAATAATAAAAAATGTGGGTAGTTGGTAATAGCCTAGATACGGAATATAATATAATCAATTCTTAGATTCTTAGATTGTTTCCATGAAATAAATATTTCTACGAAACCAATAAAACTTTTACAAACAAACAAATAAATTTAAAAATATTTCGTTTTACGTTATTTTTCCTTCAATGATATTCTATAAATTACGCTTTGCATTATTTTTCGTTTAATCATATGTAATATATTTTGTTAATTGTTAAGTTTTATTTTGCGGTATTTAATTATTTTTTACTATCGCTTTCCGTTATAATAACGTTTACAAATTGCAATTGTTTTTAGTCAAATATAACGTTACAATCATAATTTTATTATAACGTTTGCAAGCCCTGATTACAATAATTATGCTCTCCACTCGCTACCGTAATAAAACGATATCACTTATCAGCGCCTATAATTAGGAACACTTTCAGTTTCCAATTGTATTAGTCTATTTTTCTATGGATTTCCTAGAGCCCCCAAATATTTATCTAACCTCCACTAATTAGGTCAGTGCTCGAAATGGAAAATTTTCTGAACCGGAACGCTTTTTTTTGAGTACATACCATAGAATTGGGGGCTTCACCCAACCAAAATTACTAACCCTTTTTTAATAATAAATAAGTTGTGTCTATTATTTTATGAAACTCACATTATATTTTCAGCCCTTTTAAAAATTTTAATATATTTTTACCATCATTCGAAAGTGGCCAATTTTTTGGATTCAATTTTTCAATATTATCAAGTAAGTTTTTAAACGTTTATTCATTGTCTTGGCGATTTTTTTCATTACGACTGACATTTGATGAACTGGAAGTCATCATTCGAGATTTTAAATTATTAGCTAGGCTTTTGTAAAATTGTGCAGAATTTATTTTAGGAACTTTGCCACTGTGTAATATTACATTTTTATACGACATTTTGTTCTTTATTTCTTTTAATGCGTCAGTTAGTTTTGGACCCGGATCGGTTGCCATAGAATCTAATACACGTATTGTTGTTCTTATAGATTTATCAGCGTCTACTAACGTAATACTAGGTTTTTGTAAATATTCTGATAAATCTCCTAATTCGTCTAAAGCATCAGACATGGTATTTAAATTACTAACAAATTCTATACTTGTTATCATTTTAAACAATCCACAGTATTTACTTCTTTCATTAGAGTCTCTGGTAGGGTCCATTGAAGCCAAGTTGAAATGTTCACAAAAATTATTTAAGACTGCATTAACTGTCCGTTTGCTTGATGCTACCCATCGAACTGACAAAATTCTAAAAATTTTCAAAATTTGTACTTCTAATGAAATAGCAGCATTTTTTTAAACTCGTTTTGGTTTTTAGGTGACACTAAAAATTTGTTTGAACCGGAACGATAAACGTATTTTTTTTACGAACCGGAACGCTAAAAATTTTTTTGTCGTGAACCGGAACTGCGTTCCGGTGCGTTCCGGTCCATTTCGAGCCCTGAATTAGGTACAGATACAAATTAAAAAGTAAGTCTTATCGATATCAATTTGTACCAAGCAATTTTACCAAAATTTTTAAAATTTAAAATTTAATAATTATTTTGTAGTTAAAAATGTATAAAATGTTCAACTTTTATAGCTAAGGATTGAAAATTTAAAACAAGATTCCACGTAAATAGGTTATATATAAATTACGTTTTTCACCTTAATATCATCAATAAAATATACCTAGTAAATAGTAATATCATAGGCTGACTGACAGTTTTCGCTCATAATCGTTTTTCTTATACAATGATATTATATCATTGAATTCAAATTTAACACGAATCACATTACAGTGACCCACTTGTAATCTACTGTACAAAAGAGTGACATCCACTTACTTACCATTTTTTTTTTGTTTTTGTTATTAATCTAATGGTTTTTACTATTTAATCCTAGTGAAATAATATCATATATAAAATAATATATAAATAATACAATATTTTGGTGATACACACCACGGTAATACGTGATACGCTATCTGTATTTATATTATAATTTAATTTTTATTTATTATTTCAATTTAGAATATGTTTTAGACAAACAGGCAAAACGTCGGACTCGTCTTGCACGTTATCCGTATTACATTTTTCATTGCTTAAGGTTCGATTTTTGTATGGTATTTTCTTATAATCCAAGTCATACACACACCCACACACACACACAAGTAGTAAGTTACTTATATATATATACTTGGGTACCTATACTTGCAATACGCATTGAAGTGGGTATTATGATGCATATCTATAAAAACTTCGACCAGTCTCACTGTATCCTTACATACAATAGAACACACGGTGAACTGTTGTGATGTTTATAGTGTCGTTTACAACGCTGGTCCGAACACTGCGAACAATAAACGAAGTTTCTCCCCTGTGAATTGAATATACATTTTAAATAAGGGTGTTCCGGACGTACCGGTACCCACAAGTGATACCTACTACAGATACCTACACAATAAGTAACCGTTGAATGCGTATGCATTACTATAATATAGTATAATAATATGCACCTTATAGAACACAAAATATACGTAGGTACCTTATACTTGTATTGTGTTTCATGTATATTATACGCTCCTCGCTCTAACTACTATTGGCACTGTACGCACCTAGTCTGCCTACCACATTTCAATTTCAAACGAAATGTTAAAGGCATCGATTATATCGATTATAACATCCAAATGCACATAAAACCTGTGGCTGTAAACACCTATATTATACGAGTCAACGACTATATGACAATACCTTTATACCGCTTTGGTCGATGTCCTGTGCAACATGCATATTGAAAAACAGAATAATATATAACACACATAAAACCATAATAACTACCATAACTACCATCATTGTACCTATTTGACGTTGTAGGTATCTACACAGACTTACACTATATTATATGTGTTCTGCAGGTTGTTTTCTGTCAGTTCGTCACAATATAATACACAAATATAGGTATATATTTTTTATATATAGCCGAGTTGGCCGGCCCGTGTGCATCTACGATTTCAGAGCAATTAATATAAGTTTATAGTAAATTATTAATTATCTTTTTTTCAAAATATCTAATATTATATTATTACAGACACAATAATCTTGGATTTTCACCTTGACCGGTGTAAATAATATTTTTATTAAAAGGCTGTCCAGTGTCGCTCAGGGAAACTAAAAAGTTTACTCTGCACAATATTTGTCTGTTCGCCACACCTTAATGCTGTGTAAAAATAATATTAAACACGATAGTAACTAATATAAGAGGATGATACAGGTTGAGGGTATGAAATCAATAATACCGTAATTAAAATATTATGTTATATGAATATAATTTTTTTTAAATAATACAATGTCATATTACAAAAAAAAAAAAATCTCTTAATTATTAATTAATTGACAATCGATAATATACTACATGATATATCTAATTAAAACAGGTACCTAGACTTACCTATCAATGTTTATCATACTCAGAAAATTATATAATTACTAACGATAAAAATAAGGAAAATTACATACTAGGAGTGCTCAAAACACAGTTAATTTAAATTCAATAAGATAAAATAAATAACAAACAGTAATATGTCATGAATAATAATGAAATACAATTATGGCACGTGACATCAGTTTCAGCTGTGCAGATTGAGCTCGCGTAAGGCCTAGCTGCATATTAATACATACTACCTACATTATACCTATGCTACATGACCAGTCATTTCTGATTAGTCGATTTCAAATTGAGCGCTTTTTTAAATGATTTAATATTGTGTTATCACATATAGCTAATCGATTATCATGTGTTGAAATATAAAAATTAAAAAATATATAAATATATAACAACATGTAGACTTGTAGCAATATAATATAATATATATATTACCTATATAGATGATAATGTATTGTATGACATGCCAATGTACGGATGACCGGCGTCCAATATTTAATCACCTCTGAAGACGAAAGTTTATTCTATTCTTCCGGTTGGTCGTGTTTTCCCTATAGCTGCAGTAGTTGTGATGGCTCATGTGTCTCATGTGTCTTGAGTAACGGGATAAGTGGAGGTAATGGTCGCCACCGCGTCCACTCCAATCTCGATCTCCTGGTCATCTGTGACCTCGATCACCTGGTCGATTGAGACTTCGGTCACCTGGTCGATTGAGACCTCGATCACCTGGTCGACTGCAATCTTGATCTCCTGGTTGACTTCCTCGGGTTGGCAGCTGCAAATGGGACACTGTTTGTCATCCTTCTCACCAAAGTCATTGTCGTACAAGTCGCATTCTAAGTTGTCCAGTAATCTGAATTCAAAGAAAATGTCGGCCAGTTCGCGTATAACCTGGGTGTACTTGGGGTCCTTGGAGGTGATCGTCGACATGTAAACCTGGCGGCGCCTGAGTTCTTGGTGGAACCACCAGTAGTCAAACGGGTCGTATGGGATCTGCGGTATGGCAATCGGGTCGGATGACGGTAAGCGGTATTTGCAGCCACGGTGCACAGCTGGGGCTGGCCGCTTGACGGTGGGAGGCCCCGACCCAAATTCCGGCAAGATCCGGCGGTTTTCCTCCATTTCAATCTCGGCTAGGCGCTTTTCTTCTTTCACGGCTTCCAAGAGCCACAAGGAAACTTCAGAGTCTGACGTGAGGCCTTCGGGTGGTTGTGAACCGTATCTTTTTCGCCGGCTCTGCGAACTTTCGTTATCCGATCTTGTAGGTTGTAATTCCATGGCCAAAATATGGTTGGAACTGCAGTGGTCGAGAGCAAAAACGGTGCGGACAAAATAAAACTCACAGCACAAACGTCGTCTTCGTTCGAGAACCGTAACGATTATGTCACTGTTGCTATTGTCGTCGTTGAGTCAGACCCTCACTGAATGTAGGTGCAAATGCTTATTGTTTGTATACGTGTTCTCGTGTTGACGGCGAACCACTGACTGTTCGACCCTGGTACCCGGCTGGTATGAGAGATTTTTATCAGGTTCATATATTATATTTTTGTATTGATTGTCCGTACGTCATAATGATCGTTTAATGTGTGCCTTTATCAGCTGATTGGCCGCAATGACACTACGGTGGTGGTGGTGGTGGTGGTGGTGGCGGTGGTGGTAGTCGTAGTTGTAGTGGTGGTATCGGTAGCGGCGTTTAACCTAATGCATATAATATATATACAATGGACACATAAATATTAAATAATGCGATAATTAAATTTGTACTGAATGGTAATTGGTTTTTCATCAGCAGATAGACACGCCCGGTCATTCTGCACATCTACTGCCCGCAAGCCACATTTATTTTACAAAACCGTTAAAAATTAACTGGTTTTTTTCGGAACCGTTTTAAAAAGTAAATACAAAACATTTTATGAAAAAGAACATGAATTTATATGTGTTATTATAATTATTGCAAACTTTGCCCTTTACCCTTGTTTTTATAGTACTTCGATTTAATGTTAAAAAATAATATACACATTGATATATTTTGGTAGGTACTGAATTACAGCAAAAAGTGTAGGTACCTACCTACAACTTACATTACAGTATGAAAACTATTTATTTATTTACTCTTCTAAATTAACTAGGTAGGTATACCTTGAAACAATGTATGCCTAAACTATATTATCGTAAATGTAACAAATATATTATGGAAGTACTTATACAGTGCGGTACCGTGTTAAAAATATGACGTGAATGGAAATGACCAAAAAACACTATATACAGTTATATTATTTTAATTTTGAACATAATAAACAGCTGGTAGGTACGACTAAAATTATGTTTACTCATCAATATTAGTTATATTTATAACATTATACTTTCCACTCTTGTATATAAAATTATGTAAGTAGTAAGTACCTATAGCTACATGAAATTGAAAAGCACTATGCAATTGTTTTTTGGATTTGGCATGCATACAAAATTATTTGTGCGCAAGGACAACGTTAAAAATCCTATTTTTATTGCAAGACGTTAAATTTCGTATATATAGAACGAAAAAAGTGTTGGACCTGCGTTTTGGTACCTTGGGAAGGATCATAGAGGCCTACGGAAAACACTTTATAGTGGCATAAACGTGTTAATTCTTATTGAAGCAATATTAATCATAGGTACCCAAACCAATATTTTATAACACAGCTTTAGTATTAATTTTTATTTAATTTTTATTTACAATCTTTACAATATGAAATAATCATAGGGTGTTCTATGCGCACCTACCAATTATATATCAATGCGTGTAATACAAATTCGAGAGTAGGTAAATAAAATATTACCATAAAAACATAAACACATTTTATTCATATCTTATATAGGTACCTACCAAAATGTGTGCTTGTATAAAAATAATTTTTTTAATTTTCAATACGATAAACTGCTTGCCGAAATCATAAACTGATAATCGGTATGGATTCCATATGTGAGCATATTATACCATCATCTGATCTATCATATAATTCCTATAATTATTATTTATGGCTGAATATCAAGATATGGTTGTATTGATTGGTGTACTGCTGGACTGCAGCTTATGTAGATAAATATAATATAGTACCTAATATAGATAAGAGTTGTATAACGTATAGAATATATAGATGAATTATTTGAGTTTTATGTCCTTTAAAAACATCTGCAAGAGCCCTACATTTTATTTCAAAGCGTCCCAAAGGGGTCATTTGTCGCAGCGGTACCAAAGAAAAAAACGTGGGTGTCCAATTATTTATTTCCGCCACGTTATCTGTTTAAAAATAATTTGTGTGTGTGTAAATCGGGACTAGGCAAGTCGTCAAATCGTCAAATTAGATTTATGTTTTTGAATAATATTATATTAATTAAAATTGTTTTAATAAAAATTATTTTCAAATATCGTGGCTCAAAAGTATAAATATTAAGTATAGCCTACGGTGTTTGATATTTTTGATAATGATTAGAACGTTTGTGTTATCGTTACTTTTGGGAAACCGGTTAAAACCACTCAAGTTTGAGTTCGTTCTAAAATTATAGACCGTTGTTGGAAGTTTTTCCTTGAATTCGATTATGAAGTTGGAAAATGATATGGGTTCGTTTAAAATCGACTTCGATCTACTTACCAGGTAGTGCTGCTCGAAACTTTTTGGCCAAATAAGTTTTCTCGGATGAGATATTAAATAAGTATTTAAAGAAAAAACATAATTTGAGAACTATTTATATCTCATAATATATTTAAAAATAATAATTATTCATTCAAAAACTTAAAACTGATGATATTAGTAGAGGAAACCATACAAATTAAAAATTCACGTTCGGCAGGTAGAACGGTAACGTGCGGTCGTCGGCCACCATGTGAAACAACAGACGTAGGTACCTACATGGTAAATGACTAAATGAGTAACATTGGTTCATGTTGTTATATTAGCGCCACTGTTGGACAAATCAGGCCGTCCACGACCGCATTCCGGTTTATTCTAATATATTAGAATAAATTATTGTCATCACTGGTATAATTATTATTATTGAATAAAACTATAGCTGTTATTACTTATTAACCCTAAGTCAAAACTGGCATGCCGCATAGGTTCGAATAGAACGAAAGGTGTGAACAGTTTTGCTGTATTCATAGATAATTAGTAAAAATCTCTAAAAATGCTTTGTCCTAATAACGTGTGCTAAGTTTAACATAATGAACATTGTAATATTGAAAGATATATTTTTTTTTGAACAAAATTATATATTACACCATATCTGTCACAAATACTGAATTACCTATTGAACAATATCGTCTCCAGAAAAATTTAAAATTAAAATTAAATCGCGTCATAGTTATACTATTATTAAAATACACAAAATGGTTGATGGATAGTTACAAAGGTACCTAAGCAACGAAAATATAGGTACGGCTATACTGCAAGTAAAAGCCTCGTGCTCACTTCGTATACAAACAATAATGTAATAGGTAGTTCGAAACCATAAATTATGCAAACAAATCTCACAGGACAATCGTCGACCCGCCAAATATCTCCCTCCAGCGACATAGTGATGTCAATACATAATTTTTGGATTTCACTCAGGTTTTTGATAACAAACAGTGAAAACAAACAGTGAAACAAACAATATTTAGAGGTAAAAAAGTGCTTCTAAATGTTTCTTATAATATTTATCAGTCTTAAAAATAAACAATTCTGTTTCCCCTCAAAAATCGTAAACAATTTATATTTTCTACCACAAAAAGTTTCAGTTTTTAAATTTTGGAAGTCCTTACTATAAAAAATATTAGGTACCTATATTAAATATAGAATATTACAAAATATTATATATATATATATAAATCCCAGACAGCATTTTGTAATGATAATATTATTCGTTATTATAATGTTATAATAATATTTAAAAAAAAAAATAGTATCTAGGATATATTATATAATATACAATATGTGCGAAATAAATAATTTATTAAAAAATAGTATTCACATATTAAATGTCTGTAAGTTATATAAATTGAAGCTTGATAAAATAATAAATATTATGTTATATCTAGGTATACGCTGTCTATAATATATTATATTAATTCTTAGGTACAACAAGGTTACCGATATCTAAAAACTGAAATCCATTGTAGAGGAATATGGAAATATATATACTAATATATAATATGCTGGTGGTAAACGGAAAGTTCAATTTTGGTGGAAAACGACCACGTTCGTCGTCCCGCAACTGCCTCCCACCAGCGGCGTTACCGTCAATAATCGAAATCAATATTTTTAGGTTTCGCTTACGTTTTAGATGACTCCAGCAACGCAGTTTGAGGTAAAAAAGTTTTGATATATTATATTATTGTTATGATATTCGTCCATCTAAAATTCTAGTGCGTTACAGTGTTATAAGAGTTGAATAAATAAATACTTAGTACATAAATATATCCACGGGGGTTACAATATTCGTCCCCGGACAATAATAAAATTGGTCTCCGCGAAACGTAAAAAAAAAAATAACCTAACCATCATAATTGTATACATAATTGGCTAAAAAGTTGAGTACAAAATATTTTTTTAGCGCAGTTAGTATTGTAATGCGTGTAGTGCTATACGTTATAACCCACCAACATTTGTACATCTATTGTGATATCTATTGCGACCATCATGATATCTATCCTAACCTAACGTAACCTATTCGTATACCTATTGAAAAATTTACCTAATATAGTTGGTTGATAATTTATTATGGTTGAAATATATTTTCAACCATGATTTAACTAAATCCGGTGCACGTGTTTGTAAGTGATATTCAGTAAAATGTTACTGAAAAATGCCGATTGTCCGAAGGAAAAATATTGGCCGGGGATAGAATTATAACGGTTACCGATTTGTCAGCATACAGAATTTTTAAGCGGGGACCAATATTGTCCGTATACCATCCACAGAAAATGTTTACCTTTTTGCTACGAGCGTTTCTGTATATGAATTCCGATCTGATGACTCACATATATAAAACATCAACGTCGTACTATTGTGACAAAAACGGCGCCTGTTGAAAAAATGCCACATATTCTCCAAATTGAAAATATAATACCATCTTAACAACCTACCGTCGTGTTTTCACGGGTGTGTCTGAGTCGTGTCTCCTTTATATGCATTTAACCTTCAATAGTCTCTTGTATAAATGCATTAGGAGCGATAACGATATACGATAGACACAAGGAATATAAAAATAAATATATCATATTAAATCGATTATAGATTATTTTTAACACAAGAAAACAC